ATTTTGTGTAGGGAAACTAAATTGGATCATTCAATCACCAATCCCTGTGGAATCGACCTCGCACTTACATATGCTATACTACCAACGGTTCGTGCACTTGCGAGTATCACAAGTTGAGGATGCAGCTTAATCCATTTTGGTGGAGCTAAATCTACGCAACAAGAGGAAGGCATGATTTTACAGGAGGTCTTCCATCTGGATTTTTAAAAACCTTCTGAGAGAAAAGGTCTTGATCGTTGGATCAAATCCACAGTTGGGATTAGCTTAAAAAGTTATAGTAAAACTTAAACCAAAAACTGAAGCAGATTTGTTTGCTGTTTAGTTGGTTCAATCTGATATAGAAAGCATCCGAAATGGAATTGGGAATCCGATTAGAGGTTTTAAAGATGTTTAACTCATTTTCTGGTTGAATTTGTTTTAATCTGTACCATACGTACAATTTCTCCACAGCATTTTGAATGGATCAAACATCATATGAATCCGTCCAAAAGAAAAACAAATAGAAACACAGCTAATATTGTTATGGTTCGATGGCGATTTATTTTGCATGTGTAAAATGTAGTCTGTAATGGATGTGTGTTTATTGTATGTAGATTCACTTAATATTGCTGTTCTATTGTATGTCTATTGTCTTAATATTGCCTTTGTATTGTATAGATAGTGTATGCATATTGCCACCCTATTGGATGTATATTGTAATACTATTGCTATCGTATTGTGGTTATATTGCTCTAATATTGCCTCTATAGTGTACGTATATTGGCCTAATATTTCTATTATATCGTATGTCAATGGCCATTTGGTCTAATAACAGAGTCTCCACTTCGTTGAAAGTAATCCTGAATTCAAATGTCACGGACACGACAATTGTTATCCATCCTTATATATTAGCATGAATTGATGTTGACCTTTCAAATGATAGTTGGAGTTGCACATCGATTCATATTCAAAAGGAAAGTCATTGTCTCCCTCAATGAATCTTCGTTCAAAAGAAGGCAGGTATCAAATATTGGGTACAAAAATGCAAGATCCACGGTAAATTAATTGGGCACAAACCACATATTACAAAACCAGGATGATTTCTGGCATGCTTGAAAAGAGAAGGGCCAAATACAACAGAAAAGAAAATACATTCAAGCTTCTCAATAAACATGGCTCAAGCACCCGATCATCGTTTCAATCCAAACCTACCCAACAAGGGCATACCGCGTGTCCATAGTAACAGAAGAGTGGCATTTACAAAGCATGAACTGCAATATGTTTCTTTTTCTCCTAAACAAAATTGTTACTAAAATGGATCAAAAGATCCCTAACATAGAGCAATACAAGCAAAGATAGTCAATTGTCATACACACAAAATTAGTCTTCATCCATCCCTGCAGGCTGATCTCTCTTACTAGGGCCACCTGCTGGTTTTCCCATTATAATCTGCAAGATAGTCAAAGCACTGTCAACAACCTTTTTTTTAATGAAGGTATTAAACATTAAATAGGCTGCAATCAGATAGATTCATCATTTCTCACACATTTTTAGCTAGCTAGAAAACCCCCAGCATATAGATTTTCTATTTACTATCAAGCCTTCTGCACTGAAGCCATATTCATTATAAAAGTTCAACATTTCCCAAACGTAACTTTCAATTTTATTTTATTTTTCCAAGTTAAAAACTAACATTTGCGACCGTTCTTTTGAGTTATAAAGGAGTTTGTGTTCTGAGTACACACGTGCATACATGCATCTGTGCCAAGTTAGGGGAAAAAAAAAAACAAAAAAGAGAAAAAGACTTCACAAAAAGTCTAAAAGTATAAAATTAAATAAATAAATAAAAAGAACAGTCAACTAATTCATAAAGCCTCGATTTTTTTTATAAAAAAAAACTGTATGTATAGCATTTTTTCTGCTTTGGCCTCAAAGATGCAATCAGGGATTCAAAGATGTAGTTCATACCAAATTTGGGTACTTCAAAATTAGGAAAACCATTGACAAATATGTAGTTACTAGTTACCTGATCTACCCGTAGAACAATGCAGGCAGCATCTGCAGCATACTTGAGAGCAAAGAACCTGCAACAAATAGCCCAAGAAAGAAGATTGATACCTATATCTCATACGAAACAACTTCCTGGCCAACTTAAACATGTTGATTTCAATAAATTAATGAAACAAAACTATCTAAAGTTCATAAAATACCCAAAATGTTTGAAGTCGAGATGTTTCCAAGTTACTATTTATCAGTTATCCAAAGAAATCCTCACTTATTCCCGAATGCTATAATTTGTAAAAATCCTAAATGCAAACCATCAATACTATTTGTAAAACAAATAAAAAATAAAAAGGTTGGCATTGTCACTTTGTTATCCTCTAGAAACCAACCATTTACTGAAAGAGAAAGATAAGAAACCTTTCGTTGTGGATATGTGGCTTAACTATTTACACAAATGAAATATAATAAAGAAAATAACAGAATGACTGGGTCCCCTAGTGAATAAAGGCTTTCAGCACAAAGATGTAGTTGTTAGACCACCAAATCATGAACTAAATTTTATACATCATATATGCATAACCTCCTAGCCCTATTAGCCGACCAATGGACTTCAAAATGCACCACAATCCTCAAAACACCCATGCCAGTTAGTCACACTTTGATACAGAAAATCAACAGAAAGGATACCAATAAGATGAACCATTAATGTACGCAACAGGAACTAATTGGCTATCAAAACCACCAAAAATGGGATTACTAATAAAAGCTTCCTCTACAAACAAATTCTAGATCCAAAATTAATGAAAATTCAGAACCAAAATTGCATCAAACATCACAGCTGTAACAACATTCAATGTATTGAGAACTTTCACATAAAAGCATGAACTGTTACAAGACAAAGAGCAGCTTACTTAGTTATGTGGAGGTCCCAAATATTAAGAGTTGACATTTCTTTGCAACGGCCTTCCTCCAAGTCGAGGCCAACTTTGGTATTTCCTGATGCATGTTCAGCATATAGAGAAGATATGATCTCCATTGCATTAAGCCCAGCATTTTCAGCTAGCGTTTTAGGCACCATCTCAAAGCTTTCGGCAAATTTTGCTATAGCATACTGATCCAATCTGCAAAACCATTGTTTCTTTAGTAGGTTATTGCACTACTGCCCAATCAGAAATCTATGACTGGGAAAATGGTTACAAAATCAAGTTCCAATAGTTGGTCTAGACATCAATATTTTATTTTATGTTTCAGGGACAACATCTTGAGAAAATAATAATTCACGCCATTTACCATGTTTCTGTAAAAGAGAATTCCTTTACTCTCTTAGCTAACTCAATTTCAGTAGTTGCCGCTCCAGGAACAATGCGGCTATCCTTGCACATTGCCTGAAAATGAAATGCATTACGACATTAAGATATTAATTCCAATAGTTTGGACATCTGATTAAACAATTTATTCAAAAGTTCCAGAGAACCATATGCTAACAATGATTGAAGAGGTAAAACAAAACCAGCCTAACAAGAACATACAAAATTCTCAGTCTCAAATGTGGACTGTGGACCATTGACAATCTGCAAAATTTGATTATAAGCATGTAGATTCCAGAAGTCGTTTTTGACAATTACCCATCCATAAACAACGTCCCTTCCTTTGCTTTGATTTGAACAAGTAAAATCAGAATATTGTGGAATTAATTCTTGTAGAAATCACAGAGCCCAGAGCTTAAAATCTCATCAAACAATATAGATAGTTGGGACTTACCCAAACAAAGCTGAACGAAGCCCAAACGTTCTGTGACAAAATGAAGAGTTTGATTTCTGTGAAACAGTGCCTGCGAGCGAGTGAGAGTGGGTGTGAGTTATTACCCAGTTCATAGAAACCCATAAACCCAAACCCAATTTCTGAGTAACCCCTAAACACTAAAACCCTAAACCAATTTCTTACAAATCCGTACACCATAAACCAAATTTCAAAGAAAAGGTATATGAAGAGTACCTCATGGATGTCAACGGTGGAGAGGATGAACAGCCACTGCTGAGGGAGAAAGACAATTGCGTCGGAGAGAGAGAGGTACACGAGGGAGAGAGACGGGCCGAAGAGATAGAGTAGAGAGAGAAGCCAATTTCTGAAAAATTGATATGGGTACAATAAGTGGACAATAATTATATATTTATATGTGGTAGTTGTAAAAAAATTGGGAAGGGGTGGTATTTTTAGTTAAGATTATAAAATGGGTGGCATATACCGCTATTTCCCTTATAAATAAGAGTGTTGCTAAACGAACTCTAAAATTAACTGAGTACACCCTATGATCTAAGTGCACCTAAATGTTTAAATCAAAATGTAAAATTAGCTAAGTACACCCTATTTAACTACCTAAAATACCCATGGTACACCCTATACACTCTATGTGCCCGTTTGGCATTGCTTATTTGGGGTGATAAGTGATTTTTAAAAAAATTTGAGAAGCCCAACCCGTTTGGTAAACTGTGAAAAAATCACTTATTGTTAAAAATTGCTGTGAGAGAAAGCTATAAGGGAAAGCAGCTAATGAGGGGCTGTCATTTTCTAATTATGCAGAAAGCAGTTTCGAAGAGGCGTTGGGTTTAATGATTATGCAACAATTATTTTCTGATTTTGTTGAAATCAATATCAACAACACTTTTAACAAAAAATTTACCAAACGCCAAACTGCTTTCTCTTACAGCTGATTTCTCTCACAGCAAATCTAACAGCGATTATTTTCACAGCACAGCAATGCCAAACTGGCCCTATCTCGCCAAAACAAACCAACAACATTCATCGATCTCCCTATGATCCCTTTTTCTCCACACGTTGATTCTCAAAAAATTTAACTGTCTAATCTGGACAATATTGTTCTTTTTGATATATCCTAAATCTAACTAGTGATACAAAAACGTTCAACGTAATTCTTTGATATTGATCCTAAATCAAATAATAAGTAATACTAAATAAGGGAATCACTCTTATTAAAATAATTTTGTAGCTTTGGGGTTTTAAATTTTTTTCCCAAGAAACACAGTATTTCAGCCGTCTGATTTTTTATTTATTTAATGAATCCAACATCTAAAACCAAAAAACAACTCTGATTGCCTTCTCAGCCAAGGGTTGACAAGGTTAGCCTATCTGCAGTCTCTGACTCTCTGTCTTTTTTTCAATGAAATCTTTGATTCATGACCCCCACCAAAAAAAAAAAAAAAAAAACCTATTGCATTGCTTGCTGATATATAAGCCCCAATATGATTCGTGTGGCTACTTTTGGGGAGGGAAATTGGAGAAAACAAGTTTTTACAAGGAGCTTCAAATATTATAGGGAATTTTCTGAATTGAAAGATGAGAAAAATGAAAAAATTATAAGTTTGGAGAAGAAGAGTGATTGAAAGGAGAAGAGGTACTGCTGGGCTTGGTTTTGAGAGATAAAAGAGTTCGGCTGTCCAAATGCTAAGATGGAGAAGAAGAGGAGTGTAGGGAAAAATATGTGGTGTCATGTTTTAGATGGTTTTTAAAAAGTGCTGCCAAAAGAACCCTAAATTTAACTGAGTACACCCTATGATTACAACTTAAAAATATGTGGTGTCATGTTTCACAATTCAATATATCCTTTTTAGTCATTTTATATTAGGGTAAATTAGTAATTCAATAAATACTTTGATAGTAGGGTATACTTAGTTAATTTTAGGGTTCGTTTAGCAGCACTCTATAAATAATAGCATCTCCACACGCGCTTCCTCGCCTGCAAGAGTCTTTTTAAAAAAAATATTTTATTTTATTTTAGAATTAAAAAAGATAATGAATAGTTGTGTTCCATAAAAATAGGATCTATTATCTGATTTTTCTTTTAATTTATTATTATTTTTAATATGAAAAGTGTGAATTTACCATATTATCCTCATTTAATTAATACTTTCAATTCTTAATGTTTGCATTAACCAAGGGCATTTTTTGGTATTTTGAATGTTTCATCATTCTCTGCCTTTTACTTTATATATATATATAGATTATCCTTATTAATTAGTATTGGAGACAAATAATATTTCTATTTTGGTTTTAATACCTAGTAATTGAATTTTGTTTTGGATTTGGCCAAAGAGGAGGCTCATACCCATCTTACATTAATCACTGAAAAAACAATTATACCTTTTTTGTTTAAAAGCATGACCTACATTCATTGATTTCCCTTTTTGTTGATCAATCAGATCTCTCTTTCTCTACAGCAACGATGACCACATCACCATGATATGCGATCATCAATCATGGTGACGTGGTCATCGTTGCTGTAGAGAAAGAGAGATCTAATTGCTATTGAAGAGGCATAGATGTAAAATATATATCTTACAAGTTCGAGCTCCAATTTTGGAATTCACTGGTCCAACAGATTTTTATCATTTAAGTCTTTCTAATTGATTCATGTTAATATGTCTCTTTCTTTGTAAATGCTATTATCTTTTAAGGTGGAAAATAGAAACTGCATTGCAGAAAATGGATTGCAAAAAACAAAAACTGCAATGCAAAAAACGGAACCTGCAATGTAGGGAACAGAACGTGAGGTCATGCAAAAAACAAAAAAGGAAAAATTTTAAAATATGTATATCAATCCCTTTCTATTGAGTGATTCCGCAAATAATTTTAATTGAGAGACGCCCTTTTAGGTCCACTACAATTTTTTTTTTTCAATAATCCAAAAAATCTATTTTTTAAGTTACATTCATAGATCATCCTTGCAAAAAATTAGAAAAATTTGAAACCGTTTTGACATCCAATTGTGCCCTACAAAATCAATGAACACGGTTGTTCAAGAAAGTATTAAAACTTCAATAATTCAATTGAGTGGTCAAATAATATCGAATTCAAGTTTTTTTTTTTTTCTTTTCATAGAGCTGATCTTTGAATGAATATTTACAAAATAAATTATTTGGATTAGTGAAGTACAATACGAAGTGAGCTCTACAAGGGTGTCCCTCAAAACTTATGGTGTGCTTACTAATCAGGAATTGGAATTCTCATCAGAAATTGAATTCCACATGTAGAGAATTCATGCGTTTACTTCACATCAAGGAATTGAAAAGTAAGTGGGGCCCACATAAAATTAGGAATTGAATTCCTGATTTTGGAGGAATTCAATTCTTGAGTAAAAGGTGGTATTCTAATTACGGGAGAACTAACCTATTAGGAGTTCATTGTTTTTACCCATGATATCATCACACAATTTTCAAAATTCCAAATTTGCCATATACTTTAATCAAACGAGGACATTTTAGTAATTAGTACCACCCTTACCCCAATTCCATATGATTTAATAAACAACTAAAATAGGAATCAAAAATCTAACTCACCATAATTCATATAGTTTAATAAACAACTTCAATAGGAATCCGGAATCTAATTCTCCACAATCCAACTCCTCCTCAATTCAATTCCTCCTAATCCAATTACGGATTAGTAAACATGCCATTATTTGAATGATTAAATATTAAATTTCAAATATAAAATTGAAAAATAGATGACCCTACCCATTACTTCTTCCCCAACCGCAGCAAATCCACCCATCTCCTTATTTGTCCTTGTAACCCCCACCCACCTCCCCCAACAAATCCATCAACCTCTTTATCTGTCCTTGTAACCCCCTCCACTTCCTTCTCTATCCTTGTAACCCCCACCCACCTCCTTCTCAGGCCAATCCCCAACCCCCACCCACCTCCCTACCCACCCAGCCCCTCCCTCGACTCGCCCACCTCTCTCTCTCTCTAGAAATGTTCATTTACTATTTCAAGCATGAACTTCCCCCGACCACACGCACCCCCTCTTCCTATATTATGATTTTTCCACTCATATTTTTTCAAAAAATTGAACCAAAAAAAAAAAAGGAAAAAAAGAAAAAGAAAAAAACAAACAAACTTTCTAGGTTTTGATTTTACCCAGCATTTGATTCAATCTGGGGAGGGTGTAGATTAAGGTTGGCAGCAACGGTTGGGGATGGGTGGTTGTTACAGGTTGAGTGGAGGTATGGTTTGGAATCGATCCAAATGTTAGAAACTGAACGAGTCTAGAAGTTTTCTTTACGCTAAACCTTGAAGTAATTTTCTCGAAGATTTCTAGGAGTGGAGATGTGGTGTTGGTTTTATCTAGAAATTTTCTCGAATCTGTTTGCGTCTATTTTGGCTTCTCCAAGTAATATGTTCCTCAGGTTTATGGGGGTACCTATGAATATATTTGATTACGACCCAAAAAAAAGAGCCCAAACCATAATGTCAAGAAGACCAAACCGTAATGTCAAACAAGTGCAAACCATAATGTCAACCAAGTGCAAACCATAATGTCAACGGCATTTTCATAACCGAAGTGAATCCATCCAACTTATTCCTTAGCAATTTCACGAAGAAGCCAAGCAACCTTGAAGTAAGGACCTTGCATGTTAGAAAACGTCACTCTCTTCTTAGGCTGACCTTCAAACAGCCCTCTTGCATACCACCACAAAAGACTTTCATAATGTCCTCCAGGTAAAGATTCAACAGCCTGCATCACATCATGAAGTGACAAGGTCGCAGCACTTCTCCGTTGCGATAATGCCCTCCCACTTCCCACTTTGAACCCTCCTCCGACTTCTTTGTCATTCTCATCTTTCTTAGCTTGTATGACAAGTTGTTCAGCTCTCCTTTCCTCCATCCCAGATGAACCCGTAGCTTGAGTGGTTCCGATTGGGACGACATAACTTTCAGTAGCAAGTACACATCAATAATAGGTTTTAGTAATTATGATATAGAAATTCATCCATATATCAGAAAGATAGAAATAAAAATTAACATATAGAGCGATCACATTCGGAGAAAACTTAAGAAGAACTGTCAAAATTAACATATGACTGCATTCCGAAATGTTCAAAAGCACGAAAATGTAACATAATGAAGAAATGAATTACCTGTAGAGCTGTTCAAAAGCACTGTGCCATTGATATAAATCAACCTCAAATACCTTTTCACCATTTTGATAGCAATGGAATGACGGCTGCAGCAAAAATGCACACAACAGCAAAGTAAATTTCTATTTTCAGATGAAAGCAAGGCTGAATTATGTATACTCAGCTTAATCAAACTGCTTAGCCCCTTTCCTGCCAGCTAAGTAGCATGTTTAGCTATATATTCTAAACTATCAATTAGCATATGGTAAGAAATACAACACAAGTTACAAATTTTGGAACTGTATTCTGAAAGAAAAGGTTAAATACATGAGCAATTAGATCAATCAGTGAAGTACCGGCATTTATATTTAAAAGAGAAAAAAAGTATAGAATTATTTACCATATAGTCAGGAACCATATTCACCAATATTTCTTTCATGTCCGTCTGTAGATCAACAAACAATGTCAGGATTACTGATTTAGAGGCATAACACGATATAATACCATAACTTTTCTATAAACAGCTGCATGACGAATAATAACAGTGGATAAAATTACTAGATGAGCAGACAGTTAACTCGTAGATAATGAAAATACATTAGTTTTTATCAGGCACACCATTTATGTTTTATTCAGAACACCTGTAGATCAGGTAAGCATGCAAGGAGAGATATACCGTCTGCGCCTATAAAACAGACGAAGATTGTTGAATGCAAAATGCAAACATTGGCCACCCAGGGATTTATTGTTAGATCAATTTTAACGTAATAAGGAGAACTGATGCAAAGAAAGAAAAAGAAAATTATGCAACGGTGTGCAGTATATATTTTTTGGGTCATGGAATGAATGGTCTCACTAAGCATTTTGATGTCATGACAACTGTCCTAGGAAACTCCAGCAAGAAAACTTAATTTCTTCTTAGCATCATGGAGTGTTAAATTATATTCGCCAATAATTTTTCTCTTAGGATAACAAAAGTAAAGGCAATTTGCTTCCCTATAATCCCTACCAAAACGACATATATGCATCCAGTCAAGATGCAAGGTGTAAGCGTACAAGGATCCAAACTGTATTTGGAAAGTAAAAGATAAAAGTTTTACCAGTTTAGATTTGCAATAGTGAGATAATTTTTTCTTTCGTGTTGTGGTGGACTCATTGTCTTAAAAAGGAACTTTACATTCAACCAAGCTAGGAAGTGAAAAAAAGAACGAAGCTAAACTACTTTCACCAAAACACCATCAATTTAAAAGAAATATACATATATTTATATTATTAATATTAAGATCCGTATGTTGTTTTCACCTTAAGATGGGATTCAAGCACTTCACAATAAGACTAAAACGGTTCCAAAATGATTCAAGTTAAGAGAAGGCCAGATTACATGACATACCGCAGGAGGCTCGAATATCTTATATATGGTTACATGTGGGAAATTCTGCCTCAATTCAGACAAAATTGAAGCTGCCACATAATTAGAATCTGCACATGAAGAATACACCAAAAATAAGTTGAAAAGGCAAAATAAACGACTTGATTGATAAAAGTGAACTAATTAGAACTTACAAGGTATGCACTTGCGACTAATGAAGTAGAAAACCGCTGGCAATAATCCATCTATCAAATTTGTAAAGAAAAAAAAAATATTATAAACCACATAAAAGTACATGTGAAAAAGTAATACAATATATATAGGGGTGGATCCGCGGCATCATAGTTTTTACCCAAATTATTACACAACTATTCAATCATTAGATCTACAAACTTTCTAGGGTTGAGATCTACATTTTCAGCACAATCATACCCTAGATGTACTCTAGCCCCCTTTCTTCTTGCCAACAACCAACCGCACGGAAGCCAAGAGGGGAGGTGGCCACTGCCCTTCCTCCCCTCTGCCCATCTTCCCCTTCCTCTCCTCATCTCCCCATCTTTTCCCCTATTCTCCTCCCTTTCCCCTCCCCAGATGATCTAGATCTGTTTGTCTGTTTGTTTTGTTTGATTGTTTTTGCAGTGTTCTAGGTGGCTGGTGTTGTCTTTGTCTCGACGGTGGAGATACGCTAGATTGTGTCTCTCCTCAGGAGAGTTGTCATATTTGGTGGCTGATGTTTTGTCTATGTTTCAACGACGTCAGCAGCAGCGACACTGGTGGTAGTTGTTAGGATGTGGTGCTCTTCTCCTAGTCTGCGCTGACCACTTGGTTATATGAGGTTTTCTTTTCCCGGTTCTGAGTTGAAGTGGAGTGCTTCTCAAGGGTCTTTTTATTGTTGTTTATGTGGTGACGCTGGATTGTGTCTCTCCTCGAGAGAGTTGTGATACCTGGTGGCTGATATTTTGTCTCTATTTCAACGGCGGCAGTGGCGACGACGCTGGTGGTAGTTGTTGGGATATGGTGCTCTTCTCTACTCTATGCCGACCATAGAACTATGCTTGGTCATAGGAGGTTTTCTTTGTTCAGTTCTGAATTGAAGTGGAGTACTTCTCCAGGGTCCTTTTACTGTTGTTTATGTGTTCCTCCTACGTGTTCTCTTCTAGTTTCTGATATGGTATGCCTTGCAGTTTGTGTGAGTGTCAAAGGACTATGGTTTTGCTCATAGAAGGCTTCTTTTGACAATTGGGATGTTATGCGGTCCTCTCATGTGGGTCTATTGTGTTGGTCTATAGTCGCGGTTCTCGTCGGAGGTCTATATGTTAGTTTTCGTTTTTATTTTTACTTTTTATTGTAATAGTCCAAAGTGACCTGAATCGGACTCTCTTGTTAGTCCATGACATGTGTGGTACTCTTTCCTCCCTTGGAGTTTGTCTCATGAGATTGTCCTATGAAGGTTTTAACTAGGCCACTGTATCACGTCGTTCTTTATACGTCTTTGGTTCTATGAATGAATTCTCTTTCTTAAAAAAAAGGGGGGATGATATCTACTTTAATTTCTCAAATTCTATATGTATATATATACACACACACACACAAGCAAGTTTAGTAATGGCCGCCGAGTTGGATTTGCCATTTCCATCCCTTCACTACGTCTGCGTGAAAAGCAGGAGGCCGTTGAGTGCCCTTACAAAATTACAGAAAAATGCTGTTTGTCCCAACTTTTCTTTCCCAATCCAAACAAACACCACTTCAATCTAGTCTAAACCAACATAAAATGTAATCGGCATCATCAAAATAGAAAAATATTACCTGTAACTTGTTTAATTGCCCTGTCATAGTCATCCTTGTTCCAAATGATTACCATCTTTGCGGGCCTTGAAAATACAAGACCTGTAAAAACAGGTAGAGTCAGTGCAACAACAAAATCTGAAGCAGAAGCATAAAGTGGAAGACAAAAAGGGGGATACCTTCATCGGAGCGTCCAATAAAATGAAGGATTGGGGAGGACAGAGGTAATTTGCAAGGGGAAGGTACACGTGGTGATAGACTATGGATTGAAGATAGGATTAGGGTTTGGATGGAACTAGGAAGAAGCTTACGACGATGATGAAGAAGACCTGCACAGGGGTTGCTCCAATTGCCAAACAACTGTCGTATCAAAATCCCTGACTTCCTCGCCATTTTCGTCTCACTCGATTCCCTTTTTCTTCTTCCTTTCTGTTTTCTGGTTCTCAGTCTCTCGCTTTTTTTTTTTTTTTGACCTTTTTATTGGGAATTGCCCACAACACTACGAGGAATTCTACCATGCGGATGCCTTATCTACCCAGCAATTAACCGATGTAGGATTTTGATCCTCTACTAGGAATATTGTCCCATTGAAGACGATCTAAAGGCTGAGAGGCATGCCACGTATTTAATTACCCTTATTTTCATTTGGTTTCAGTGTCACTCAAAACAGCCCCTCTGGTTATCGTGTGAGACAATTTAGTATTTGTTTTTCAATTTGGTCAATTTAATTCATGTATTTGGAAGAGTAAGCCAATGTAGTCTAATGCATTAATAACATATTTATTAATTTGTAACTGAATCAAATTAAGTAGTTAAATATATTCATGTGTTTACATCACATTTAGGAATTAAAATGTGAGTGGGATCACACAAAATCAAGAATTCAACTCTTGATTTTGGAGGAATTTGACTCTTTTACTGTTTATAGGCAAAATTCATAAACCTCCGTTTTTATAAAATATAGCCAAAATTATACTTAAATCATTTAAGAAAATAGGTCATGTCAATCGTGTAATACCTGCCAACCCACAAAAAAATGTAAGGAAATGGAGACTTCAGCACACACACATAAGGGGTTTTGAACCCCTTCCACTTTATCCACCATACTACAAACAACTTTATGATTCTTTGCTACACCATATGATATTTATAGTGTTTCTACAGACATTATCTTTTCCTTCTCTCTTCTCTTCTCTCCTTTCTGGTTTTTCCCCTTCTTATTTCTCTCCTCCCTTTTTTTTTTTATACAAATATATTAATTAAATTTAAAAATATAGTAATTATCACGGAGGCGTGGAGCTCGAGGTGGAGAACATAGAGCCAAAAACACGAAGCAGCCCCACATACCACTTTTTAAACAGGGTAAATGGCCGAAAACCCCCTGCACTATTTCGACTGTCGAAATGTCCACCTTGAAATATTTTTTCAACCAATTTAGCCCTAAGATTATTTTAAATGGTCAATTTAGCCTCTGCCGTTAGTTTTCATGCAATTTCATCCAATGTTCTGTCTAAATGTCACATGTTAGGCACGTGACTCACTGTTCAATTAAAATTTAATTTTTTTAAGTTTAAAATAATTAAATTGTTAAAGCTCACTAGGCCCTCGCGCCCTCGACCTAACCCAGGCCTTCTTCAAGCCTATATCCTGCGCCCCCTCTCCCTCCTCCACCAAGCGCCACACCAAGATCTCCGTCATTGGCGCCGACAACGTGGGCATGGCCATAATCGGTTCATAATTGTATATCATTTCGTACCCTTCTAGCTTATGATTTGGTCATATTTTTGGGTTAAACTTGTGCTTTTAATCCTTTTTGTGTTTATCTTTCAATTCATTGAGCTTTAGGTAACAATGATGGCTTTGGATAGGAAATGATGCAATTCATGCATGTTAAGGCCTGATTTGGGTGAATGGAAGAAGAGCTTAAAGACAAACTAATTTTGGCTACAAACCCTTACCAGCCCAGTTTCGTAGGTCAACTTCTTGGCCTTAGATCAGCATGCTCTGGGGCTCGGATGAGGTGAAGATCTTCATGAAACTTGTTCCAATGGGTGTCTAGTACAACATATCCAAATTTCAGCCCAATTGAACATATGTGGAGTGCTTAGCCCGTCCAACACTCAACCTTGCTCAAGAGGATTTGCAGCTGCCAGCTTTTTGCCATGTGCCTCCTTTTAGCCATGTGTCTCACCCCAACTATAACTGACTTTGTACCCAACATAATGAGTGAAGTAGGGAGGCATTCCAGCTATGAAATTATAAAGGAGCAAGTTGGTACATGCTGGAGCTATTAAAGAGAAAGCATGTGCATGCATGTAAGGAGCAAGTTGGTACATGATGAAGCTATTAAAGAGAAAGCATGTGTATGCATGTGAAGCAAAAAGAAAGAAATGAAATGAAATGAAGTCAATTCCAGTCTCTGTTCTGCAGCCAACTTGCAAGGCCTAAAACGCATACTTCTAGTCCTCCGATGGGAATACTTTCTTCATAGAAGTTGTTCCAATGGGTGTCTACTATAACATATCCAAATTTGAGCCCCATTGGATACGTTTTGAAACCTCTGGCCTTCCTACACCAAGCCTGGTTCAGAAAACTCGTTTTTGTTCAACAACCAAAAGAAGACCACATAAGTTGGCAGCAAAAGGCAGCCACAATTGAACACATTTGAAAACCCATGTGAAGAAAGCTTGAGGTGCAGCAAAAGAAGTATGGGATGGAATTGTTTCCAACCACACTAACATAGACAAGATCAAGTGGAAGTTATGGATTGTATTAAAAGAGGAATGGTGGTGTTGGAATTCATCATGATGTTCCTCCCTCTTAGCCCTATAAATAGAGAAGTCTTCGAGCTTCAAAACACACCCCAAGGGGGGGGGAGCTCTCAAACACTTTTCTAGAGCTCCCTTCCCTTCTCTCCCTCAAATTCTCTTAGTTTCCTTTCAAGTTGTCAATTGTTGTAATAAAATGATTTTACTAAATTTTCTTTCAAGTTTTCAAGTTTTACTTTAATTTTATTTGTAATGTACATTCTTTCTTAAGTATTCAAGTTTAATTAGTTTCCAAGTTTCAATTATGGTTTTTGTTCTTATTCATTATGCTTATAAGTTAATATGCTAGTTTGAATGATTGATCACCATTTAGGCTTGCATGTTAGCTATCTTGGTTTGAATTAAGAGAAGACACCATGCTTTAATTCGAATTGAACTATGAATAGGAAGAGTATGTATGGACATTCGACAACAGGGATTAGATACATGCTTGGTTGTTTAAATTGTTCTTCTATGCTTAATGGGTTCCTAATGCTTAATTTTAGGTTAGACAACAAATGATCAAATTAGGGAATTAGGAACACAAGGTTATGACCAAACACCATGGCTTAATCATACATTAGCTAGAATCAATCCGTTAATCTAATTGAACTTGGGAACTTATCTACTTGAGTTAGTTATTCTCTTTCTTCCTTGTTTTATTTATTTCCTTTCTTTTTAATTTCTGTTTTGTGTAGGGAAACTAAATTGGATCATTCAATCACCAATCCCTATGGAATCGGCCATCGCCCAAACCATCCTTACCTAGGACCTCGCCGATGAGCTCGTCCTCGTCGGGGCCAAACCAGAGAAGCTCTGCGGCGAGATGCTTGACCTCTAGCACGCCACTGCCTTCCTCCACCACACCAAGATCATAGCCGACGTCGACTACACCGTCACCGTTGGATCCGACCTCTACATCTTCACAACTGGGGCCTGCCAGATCCCCAGCGAGTCCAGGCTCAACCTGCTGATATTGTCGAACCCAGTCGACATCTTGACCTATGTGGCTTGGTAGCTGTCCGGGTTCCCCAACAATCGGGTTGTCAGGTCGGGTATCAATCTAGACTCTTCGCGGTTTCGATTCCTCATTGCTGATCATCTTCATGTCAACGCTCAGGATGTGCATATGGGTTTTGATATGAAATTTCTCAGATTTTTGTTGGTTTATGAGTATCAATTTTGGATAAAACATGGTTCTGATTTTTCATTTAGGGAAGAGAGGGATGAAGAAGACTGGTAATAGGTTTCTTTTGGAAAAATAGATTTAAGTTTAGCATGTTTTTTGTTTTTACATTTTTTTAATTTTTTATAAATATTTTACTTTGTAAAATGACAAACTTACTCTTATAATTGATGGAAAATTGGATGGAAGTGTAGAAACTTGACGATAGATGTTAAATTGGCGATAAAAATTAGTATAAGGGCTAAATTGGCAGAAAAAATAATTCAGGGTGGACATTTCGACATTCGAAATAATCCAGGGGGGTTTTTCGCACTTTACTCATTTTAAAAATTATTATTATTCTTATGGGACGGCCCCACAAATTACGGAACGGAAATCACGGAGGCATGGGAAAAATTAGAAATGAGTATCATAATGGAAGTCTATAAAAGGAAACAAGGGAAAAATCTAAACTCAAAACTCCTCAAACTCAAAAAAAATCCTCTCAGCTCTCAGAAAAATCTAAACTCACAACTCCTCAAACTTAAAATATGTGTCATTTCACAATTCCTATAGTGCCATTTCCAAAATTATGTCATTTACAAATTCAACATACATAAATCTAAACACGGAAATCTTCAATTGTCGGAAATTGAAATAATGGAAATCTAAATTCCGTCATTTTAGAATTCTATGTAATTTTCAATATATTCACCTATATGGAGGAAACGGTAGAACCACATTGTAACAAATTTAAAAGTGTGTAATCGTAAAAATTGAAAAAATAGTGAGTAAGGTGTAACCAAACATAAAACAACCGAAAACAAGCCAAGCGGTAGAGGGGACCGGAAAGAAGAGAAGCGAAGTGAGAGAGACTAAAATGGCGAGGAATTTGGGGGTTTTGATGCGGCAGTTGCTTGGCATTCGCAACAACCTGTGTGCAGCAGGTCTTCTTCATCATCTTCACCAAAAATCCATCCAAAACCTAACTTCAATACGAAATACCACACCATCTTCACCACAGACAATCGATATTCGTTCCGCTTCCAAACCCTTCTCCCATTATTGCATTCACACCCCAAACCTTCAATTTCTGCAACAGCAACGATGCCTATCCTCACTCTCAGAGTCAGATTCAGATTCAGATTCAAAAAATTTACTTTCAGGTCCCTCAAACCTATTCGTCATTGAGAGTCTCAGCATGCCTTATGAGGCACTTGAAAAAGTTAAAAGTATGCCAATTTCTCCACCCACCTCATCCTCTCTTAATTTTACACATTCAAAATAGGGAATTAAGTTTTGTTGTGGATTTTTAATTTAATTTAATTTAATTTTTTTTATTTTTTTTTGATGAAATTTTTTTTTTTTTTTTAATTCCTTGGTAATACACTGCACCCGGGTGCCCGGCTAGTAAGTTCTGACTTCTAATCAATGAATTTACTTTCATTTTTTTAGCGTAAATTTACTTTCATCAATCAAGTCATTTGCAATGAATTGCTCTCTTTTTTATGAGAGCAATTCATTGCAAATGACTCCAATCTTTGATGAGTTGTGTGAGCAATTCCGACATATAACAATGTATAAGGTTTACATGGATAAGGTGTGTAATTTTATTATGGTCTTCCTTCAACTTGGATTATTATTATTTTTTTAAAATTTAGTCGGTGTGCATGTAGTTTTATTGTGAATTTTATGAATCCCATCTTTAAGATTAGGTCAAAACAAACGCAAGTGTTCTCAGTCACGTAATCCAGTTATGGGTCTGAAGTTTAATAAATTTCTGTAATTTTTTAAATTTTGAATTGGTTTATGGTTTATTGGAAACAGTGGTTTGGTAATTTTCTTACTCCTAGGCATGTACTTCATGTGCAGCATGGTATACTGTTTGATATAAAACATTGTTCTTTCCTTTAAAATTACCACAACCAAACTCAGATTGTTTGGGCTGAGGGATAAGTTGTGGCTTGGAACCTGTAATATGGATTTAATGATTTTGTTGACAATTACATCTTGTTTTGTTTTTCTTGTGGGATGCTTGGTTTTGTGAACTATTTCATTGTCTTTGAGAAAAAATATATATATTTCTTTGATTGATTGGATATAGAGGAAGTTGCTCTAATCAAATTGATAGTATGAATACATCACTATAGACAAGAATACAAATATAGACCCACAAATCCTATCTTCCCTTACTGTTCTACATCAGTTTGGTATCAGAGCATCCTCCACCATGTTCTTACATGGTGGGAGGGCAGATGGTCAACTTGGCAACCAACTTAAGATCACAGCCCCTAGGGGTATGATTAAACACTTGAAACAGTAAAACCGAGAAGAATATAGAGGTGGAGGAGAAGAAAAGATAGATTGAATAGATGAAAGAAAGGACAGAAATCAGAGAACCGAGAAGAATACTAAAGAACCAAGAAGTAAGGACAGAAAGTAGGGAGTTTTAAGAGAGGGTTTATTCAACATCCAAATCTGAATTTTAAAGAACTACATGGGGGTATTTATAGCAAACTAAAACCTAGAGATAATAGGATAAAAATCCCTTGCTAAAACAGAAATCCTAAACTGGGAAACTGGAAAACTAGAGAATCTAGGAAACTAACAAATAAACTAGGAAACTAATCAATTTAAGTCCTACGCATTCTGCATCAACTACCTCAATGTCAAAACTCGAGAGAGAATGATGTAGGAGCAAAGTTCAAGTTTAATGAATGGAATTCTTTCTAGTTTCTTTCCTATGTAATAAATGCAATTTTCTAAGGTTTACTGTCTTTGAGTCTCCCTATGTCACATGATTAATGTATTAGCTGTAGTAAATGTCTTTAGAATTACCAAGTGTGTTAATGTGGATCTTTCCAGATTCATGTACCAATTAACCTATAAAAAGGGACTATTTTGTAAGCATAAAATCAGAGTTAGTGAAAGGAAAAGAAAAATTCTTGCGAATTTCTGCTTGTGTGAGGCACAGGTTGTCTTGGAGTGATTCCAAGGTACCTTCGGTGTGAGGCTGAAATTGATCTAATTTCTCAACTTGAAACCTTTGGTGTGATGCCAAAGGCTGGAGTTCTTACGTGGTGGGAGATCCTGTGTACCAGGCGCAGATGGTCAACTTGGCAACCAACTTAAGATCATTCTACTTCAACATGTCAAACTGAGGTCGAGTTTTCTGCAACCAGGGAAAATGATGCAGGAGCAAAGTTCAAGTTTAGTAAATGGGAGTCTTTCTAGTTTCTTTCCTATGTCACATGATTAGTGTATTAATTTAGGTGTAATAATTATGTCTTTAAATTCCCGAGTGTGTTAATAGGGATCTTTCCAGATTCATGTAGCAATTACCCTATAATAGGGGCTACTTGTAAGCATAAAATCAGAGTTAGTGAGAAAAAAAAAAAATTCTTGTGAATTTCTGCTTATGTGTTAGGCACAGGTTGTCTTGGAGTGATTCCATGGCACCTCCGGTGTGATGTCTAATTTCTCAACTTGAAACCTTTGGTGGGATGCCAAGGCTTAGAGTGAGTCCGGATCTCTCATTTCTTCCTATCTTCCCTCATTGTCCTACATCATGTTTGTTCTGGCTGAAAGATAACTTAATTGGGTACATGATAACACAAATGTCTTTTTCATTGCTATGCATTATTCGCTTGCCCATGTCGTGCATTAATTTTTTTGTTTTCATACTCTAATTAAGATCCGACATGCAGCTGCCTATAGAAGAATCATGTTATTATATTTTGTTGTACCTCTAAATTAGTAGACCTAACGTTGTTTATTGTATCTACAGAATGACCCTAAATGCCCATTGGATATATTTGGAATTTCTTACAAAAGGGTAAATGATCCGATCCTTGTATTTTATTTTTATCAGAAGGTTACTTTAGTCAAACAGATAAGATCAATACATCATTACACTTCACTTTTCATCTTAAATTGGTTGGGATTCCAGGGAAGATGTTGCCTAAATTTTTGTAATAGCAATAGAAATATTGTTGGGATTCCAGGGAAGATGTTGCCTACACTTCACTTTTCATATTTGACAGTACATGATACTGTGAAGTAATCAAAATTGTGTTTTTCGAATACTGAACAGGTGAAATGAAATGTGCAACAAGGCATGGTGGGTGAAAGATAACTTAATCGTGTACGCGATAAAACGAATGTATTTTTCATTAGCTATGCATTTATCGCTTGCTCATGCAGTAATTTGTTTTCCTTATTCTAATTATGATCTGCCTTGCAGTTGCTCATGGATGAATCACAGTATTATTTTTTGTTATGCCTCTGATTAGTAGATCTGATGTTGTTTATTCTATCTATAGAAAGCCCCTGAATCCTCATTGGACAAGTTGGAAACTCACAAGACGGTAAATGATTCGATGCTTCTATTTTGTTTGAATGTAAATGTCTGCACTTAGTTCAGTGATGTAATTTCTAAATTTGGCTTGTATTTCTTATTATCATATTCTAATTAATAATTTAGAAAAGTATAAACAAGCTATTCTTATCCTGGAAAATGGGCTAAGTGGTTTGTTCAAGCTGAGGGAATATATTTTAGCCCTGAATTCATGTTAAATGGAAGATTACTCTGCTGATGTGTGTGTTTTGCTGCAGCCAACGTTCCATTGCTATCTAAAGGGGGAAAGGGTAGATGAGCTTGCCGGTGCTTCAGCCAGACACTTGAAAAAAAGACTTGAAAATGTCTACAAGTAATTCTTCTCCCGGTTATTCTACTTTTTCTTGATTTTGTGTTTGTGAGTGGAGTCATATATTCTTGATTGTTGAAGTCAAGGTTTCTCTAAATGTGATCTTTCTATGTGTTTTTAATTCTATCTGATATATGGATGAATGATATAGTAAGTTACTAAACTGACCCTATTGTTGAATTTTCTCATATATGACTCAACGTATGTAAAGTCCGTCTGGGATGAAGAAAAGGAGAGGACAAGGTAAGAAAGATGAGAATGATGGAGGAATTGTTCAGGTACTTCCAAGTAGGTTTCCTGAAACATCATTTCCTGGAGTGTTGTCGAATCATCAGGGATAGATGGATGTAGCAACATGCCGTTTTGAGATGTGGGCTTTTGCAAAAGGGATGCTTTTATGTCAAGAGAACAGAGAGATTTTCCAAATTGGAAGATCGTGAATCCAAGGTCGAATGGTTTAAGCATGAAATGGCTGAGAAATGAGTTAGAAGCACTTGTATGTTAAGTTGCGTGGCATTAATTTATATATGGTTTAGTTTAGACTTGTGCGGTGCTGGATTTGGATTTTGGATAATTACCTTATGCTTGACTGTCATTTAGGTAATTGTAGTATGTTGACTGCTGTGGTATAATTATGATATGTTTGGCTGTTTTTGTGTTCCTATTGTTTGAACAGTTTTGGGAAACTCTTCTTAGCAGAAGTATCTAAATGGTAAGTATAGATTTTATGACAAACTACAAAACCCCTAGAGTATGAGGTCAGTTTTAATTTCATACTCATTTTGTAAGACATTTACAATTTCATACTCAAACTCTCAGCTACATAACTCAAACCATTTTATTCTTATAAACACACCCAAAAAAACCCAAAAATTGACAAACTATCCTATTATACATATTTTACAATCCGGTTATGACTTTTTACATCAAATTTTGAGAAACTAACCCAAAACTAACCCGCTCAGATAGAATTTTAAAATTACGGTATTGTCCTCGTAACCCAGTCAAGCTCATCTACCGCTGTTCATTAAATTTTTCATTCTTTTTTTTTATTTTTTATTTTTATAATCAAGTGAGATTTTCATTGCAACGCCAGAAAAGGCACCGGAACACAAATAGAAGTCAGCAACTGAAATAACAAAATACAATCACACAGTGGCGTTGCCAGGAATTCGCTCAAGGAGGGCCAACATTATTAGCCAAGATAAATGGAAAAGCCATACCACCACTAGACTCGGACTAGGATGGTTTAGAGGAGAAGAAAAATGCATACAAGGATGTGCCATGAGAATAAAACTATGAGATAATAGATTAACAACCTAAAATCTTAAGTATCCATTGTTTTTCTACATAAATATTTTAGAATAAGTTCAATTATATAAGAAAACTTTGATGGTTGTTGTTCCAAAAATATTTAATGGGTTTTAAGACAATATTGGAAGATGTTGCTAATTAAACTGAACATGAATAAAAACACTTACGTGGTAGAAGGTCAAACCAGTTGCTCTCCTACCCACTTACATGGTAGAATGTCAAATTGTTTTATGTAAAAATATTGACTAAGTATGAAAAATGGGTTTCCGGAATAATCATTTTCTGAAGATAATTTTTGGCGGCTTTTATTCCTCACACATCAAATAAGAAAACTTGATTTTATGAGATTTTAGTATGAAATATATATTGACTTAATGAGCCATCATTTTTAGCCTAAATCGTATTTTACACTAAAACCGATTTTTCATATTTTGATTTGGTGGGAATTTGATTTTCTAGTATTTTTATTTGAATCCAAATGGGGGGTACTTCCTTATTTACATTGTAAACTTAAGTAAATGGAGTAATATAAAAATAAATAAAAGTAAAATGACAAAGACATTTACTTAAATGTTGAAAGTGGAAATAAGGTAATCTGTACACCGTCACTGACTAGGCTACAGGCCACTGTAGCCCTTAGTGTGGTTCCGCCCTTGTGCTTCATGCATTCTTTTCTCAAGGTCAAGTTGAAAATATTGAGCAAACAAAAGCCTAAACTGTAAGTGTTACCATTGGGTCAGAAGGGTCATATGACCCTCCTAGGCCTTAATTGGCTCCGCCCTTGCAATCACATCAGCTTATAAAAACAGACGCTGCAAACACAGCCGAGTAATTGATTAATTAGCTTTTACTTTGTCCGAAGATCGTCCACTATTGATTAAATCGAATAGATTAATACCTTTTCAATTTCAGAAAAATATAGCATGAGAATCAGACTATATAGCATGAGAATAAGACTAGGTAGACTTTAGTCATCACCATAAATAAGAGTACTTTTTTTTTTTTTTGGTTCCATGTCAAAAAGGATTTGAGGGCTTATGGGAAGCAGAGAGGGTGGTGTCCCTACTTCCTGGCAAGGCATATGGTGCAGTTCTCCAATGTGGTGGTTTACAGTTATCATTATATGCTTGATCCTAAAGTGGCTGTGATTATTTCTAAGGAATTATAAGAGTCTACTGTGGTGTTTGATGAGGCTCACAATATTGATAATGTGTGTATTGAAAGCAGTGTTAATGCACTTGAAGTGTGCTAATGGCCTTGAAGTGTTTTAAGTAAGCCATCTAAATACACTTGAAAAAACACTGCTAATGCCCTCGAAATGTACTGCTAATGCCCGTGAAGTGTACGCTAATACCCTTGAAATGTACAGCTAATGCACTTGAAATACACTATTAATGCCATTGAAAAGGAGTCCTAATGTACTTGAAATCTACTGTTAATGCCCTTGAAACTAGTGTTAAGTTCAACAAATAAAATCGAAAAACTACTATAAAATTCAAGGAGAAAAAAGATGATCAGAGATCGTGGAGATGGATTGTGGAAGATGGACGATGCCTTGGTTTTTGTGAGGTGTGTTTTTTGAGTTATTTCTGTTGGGTTTGGGGCGATGCATTTGTTTGGGTTTTTTATTTTATTTTAGGGGGTTAATTTTCCTTCTCTCTTTTTCTCGACTTACATTCCATTTTGCTTTTTAATATTTTTTAATCAATTTTGTTCTTTCTTTTTCCTATTCTACCATTACCTTACAATTCTCCTTAATAAACATGTACAATCACTTACTAATATTATAAAAGAATAAAAATATGAAACTATTATGCATACCTTGCTCTCTGCATATCTAAGCTCTTAATGACAGTTTAGTTAGTAGCATTTTTTGGTTCTTCTACCGTATTTATATGTTAGCCCAAAAAATTTATTATCTATTAACTACAAGAAAGATAAATAGTACTCACAGGGCTTATTTGGTACGTCGGACTGTAATGACTAATTTATGTTGGATAGTATTAATCTGTTTCGGAGAGTATTGACTGTTTATCCATAATATTATAAGGTGTTTGGTATTGTTTTGGATAAATAGTCTGACTAAGTTATACTGTGTTTGGTGTTCCGTTGGATAAAATTGGATTAGACTTTTTTATTGTTGAATTATTTAATAATTTAAATGGAAATTCAAATTCAAATGACACGAAATTTTTTGGTAAGATTCATATGACAATTGTTTTTGCCAAATCATTGACAAATCATTTTAGCCATTAGATACATCCAACGGCTACCTAATACTAAAACAAGAAACCTCTCTCCCAATTCTCTCTTTCCCTTTATCTGCGCCCTTCTTTGTCTTCATCGTCGGCCCACCACATCATTGATGCAAAACCCCCAAGTTAAATAGTTAGGCAGGTAAAGAGATATTAAAAGCTCAAATCGTTTAAAATAGTCAGGTAATTAAATAATGCAAGTTGACACCAAACAAGTGATATAGACTATTTATTCATATCCATAGTCTAATACGGTGTACCAAACGAGCCCACATACTTAGTAAAAAAAACTAAGAATTTGGCGTACAAATACTCACATTTCTATCCATTTTCCAAATTTATTTTTGTTTTTTGTTTTATTTTTTGTTAACTTTTCTTAATTTCAGTTTTCAAAATCTTAATGTAGGGTATGGGTAGAATAGGAAAGAGAAAGAACAAAAAAAGAACAATGTAAAAAGTATTAAAAACAAAAGTGACTGTAAGTGGAGAAAAGATGAGTGAGAAAATCACATCTCTTATTTTATTTTATTTTATATATTTTTCTATATATATGTATAAAGCAAAAGGTAGAGAATGATGAAACATTCAAAATACCAGAAATTACCTGTGGTTAATGCAAACGTTAAAAATTAAAATTATTAATTAAATGAGGATAATATAGTCAATTTATATATTTTTATTAAAAGAATCAGATAATAGGTCCTATTTTTATTGAACATAATTACTAATTTTATATTTTCTTAATTCTAAAATAAATAAAAAATTTTAAAACAAAAAAAACTCGCGTGGGGCTAGTTTATTTATTAAATGTGGGTTGGGCTTGTTTTAAGTTTTGTTGTGTTTCTTTATGGATTTTTGGTTTGGTCTTGTTTTAAGAATTGTGATGGCACTTTTGTAATTTATTTAAGGCCAAGTGTTGTTTGCTTTCTTGTAAATGAGTTGCACACAGAGAGAGTGACGGAGAACCAGAAAACAGAAGGGAAGAAGTAAAAGGGGATCGAGTGAGACAAAAATGGCGAGGAATTCAGGGATTTTGATACGACAGTTGTTTGGCAATTGGAGCAACCCCTGTGCAGGTCTTCTTCATCATCGTCGTAAGCTTCTTCCTAGTTCCATCCAAACCCTAACCCTAACTTCAATCCCTAGTACAACACCATCTTTACCTCCCTCTTGCAAATTACCTTTGTCCTCCCCAAACCTTCATTTTAAGGAACGCTCCGGTAAAGGTATCCCCCTCTTTCTCTTCCACTTTCTGGTTCTGCTTATGATTTTGTTGTTGCCAATGCCAATGCCACTGACTCACCTGTTTTTACAGGTCTTGTATTTTCAAGGCCCGCAAACATGGTGATCATTTCGAACAAGGATGACTATGACAGGGCAATTAAACAAGTTAAAGGTAATTATTTTTTTTAAAATTCTATTATTTTTTCACATGTAACTTTATGTAGTGTATAATTCTAATTTTTTTGTTTTTATAGATGGTCTTTGGCCAGCGGTTTTCTACTGGGTTGCTCCTGACCGCACCCCTTGTAAGTTCTAATGAATTCGCTTTTATCAATCAAGTCATTCCTTGTACTTTTGAAACTTATTTTTGGTGTACTCATCATGTGCAGTGTGGACTTTTTCAACTTTTAAGCTTCATAGGCTGAGGGAGGAATTCCCACATGTAACCATATATAAGGTTATCGGTATACCTGTGGTATGTATGGCATTGTAATCTGGCATTCTCTAAACTTGAATCAATTTGGAACTGTTTAGTCTTATTGTGAATTGTTTGAATCCCATCTTAAGATTAAGGTGAGAACAACATATGGATGTTAAGATTAATAAATTTCTGTTTTTTAATGCATGGTTTTTTGGTGACACTAGTTAGTATTTATTTTTCCTTCACTTCTTAGTTTGGTTGAATGTAAAGTTCCTTCTTTAGTACTTTCTTCGATGCAAGAAACATGCTAAAGACATCACTCCAAGGAGTCCACCACAAAACAAAAGAAAATATCGCCCCACTATTGAGAATCTAAACTGCTAAACTTTTTACATTTTACTTTCCAAATACAAACTGTATCCTTTTGTGCTTACGCCTTGCATCTTGACTGGATGCATATATGTCCTTTTGGTATGGATTCTAGGGAAGCAAATTGTCTTTACTTTTCCAATGCTAAGAGAAATTTTTTTTGGCTGAATATGAATTAACAGTCCATGATACCATTTTTCTTCCTGGAGTTTCCTAGACCAGTTGTGATGGCATCCCAATGCTTAGTGCGACCATGCAAACCATGACCCAATAAATATATATTGCATACCGTTGCATAATGTTTTTCCTTTCTTTATGAAATCTCCTTAATACTTTATAATTGAGCTTAAAATAAATCCCCTTGGGGCCAATGTTTCCGTTTGCATTCAATAGTCTTCGTTTGTTTTATAGGCACATATGGTATATCTCTGCTTGAATGCTTACCTGAGCGATATGTGAACTGGGTAAAACATAAATGGTTTACCTCATAAATCAAATTTATTTTCATTATCTATGTGTTTACTGCTTCCTCGTGTGTTAATTTTGCCCACATTATAATTATCGTTCGTCATGCAGCTGCGTATAGAAGATTTATTGTATTCTATCTTGTTATGCATCTAAATTAGTAGTCCTCACATTGTTTGCCCATCTGTAGACCAACATGGAGAAAATGTGGAAGTATACGAAACCTGACGAGATGGTAAATGATTCTATTCTTTTTATCTTATTTAAAAAAGTTAATGTAAATGCTCGTACTTTGCTGATTCATCTAATTACTCATGTATTTAACCTTTGCTTTTAGAATACAATTTAAAAATTTCTGTTGAATTTCTTACCATACGCTAATTGATAGTTTATAATACATAGCTAAACAGACTATACTTAGCTGGCAGGAAAGGGTCTAAGCAGTTTGATTAAGCTGAGTAAATAATTTCAGCCTTGCTTTCATCTGAAAATAGAAATTTACTTTGCTGTTGTGTGCATTTTTTCTGCAGCCAGCATTCGATTTCTATCTAAATGGGGAAAAGGTAGGTGACTGTCATGGATCTGACAAGTTGCAAGATATTTTTGCTGAGCTCTACAGGTAATTCATTTCTTCTTTACGTTACATTTCGTGCTTTTGCATATATTGGTGCCTATTGGTATTCTTTGACAGTTCAAGTTAAGTTTTTAGATATTTAGTCAAATACCCAATCCTAGACATGTATTTATAAAAATACCCAAGCACTATTTAAACATAGAAACATACCCAAAATGGGTTTTGGGTATGTGTGTAATGATGGGTTTTGGGTATGTTTATAAAGTGTTTTGGGTGTTGGGTATTTTTATAATTTCAGCCTCCATTTTGGGTATTTTAGTGAAACTCCCTTAAGTTTTCTCCGAATGTGATCACTCTGTATGTTATTCAATCTTTTATTTCTATCTTGTGATATATGGATGAATTCTATATCACAGTTACTAGACCCTATTATTGATGTGTACGTAAAATTGAAGGAATGCCATCCCGGTCGAAGCCACTCATCCTACGGGTTCATCTGGAATGGGGGAAAGGAGAGCTGAACAACTTGTCATACAACCGAAGAAAAATGAGAATGACAAAGGAAGTGTGAGGGCATTATCACAATGGAGAGGTGCCGCAACATTGTCACAACTGAGAGGTACTGCGACCTTGGCACAAGAGAGTGGTGGCCTTGTTGAGGCAGTTGAGAGTAGTACTGCACCTTCACTTGATTTAGTGATGCAGGCTGTCGAATCTTTACCTGGGGGACATGCCAATAGTATTTTGTGGTGGTTTGCAAGAGGGCTATTTAAATATCAACCTAGGAAGAGAGTGATGTTTTCAAAAGTGCAAGGTCTTTACTTCAAGGTTGCTTGGCTTATGCATGAAATGGCTGAGGAATAAGTTGGATGGGTGCGGTCGAACCCGGGAGTGAAACAAACCGGGAATCAGATGCTGAGAGGGCCAAGGCACGTCAATTATGAATTATATTATGCTGTTGTTGACATTATGGTTTGGACTTGTGCGGTGGTTTAAAATTTGGATCGATTACCTTATGTTGTACAATTACTTGGATAATTGCAGTAGGTTTGACTGTTATTTGGATAATTGTCGCATATTTACCGCCTTGGTTTTTGTAGTTTTAATTTTGTCAATTTTATCTCTATAGTTTCAATTCGGGGTGTTTCAAATTTTGTAAAATTCCTCCAAATGTTCTTAACTTTTGATTGTGCCTGATGAGTACATAATTATCACATTTTTTTTATTCCTAAATTATATTTGTTAGTAATTATTTTTCCTTACAATTTGAGTTAATTATGTGTGTTTGCACTTATTTGCCTACATACCCATTACGTAAATGATGATGATTTTATTATAAAAAGCTTACCATTATTTTATCTTAAGGGTAAAGACCATTGGGAGTTGATGGGCAAGTAGGAAAGAAGAAATATAAAATGCATGCATAATGATGTACCACCCGACAAAGAGAAGAAGGAAAGTATGGAAGTGCATAATAAAGTGTTGAAGTGCCACACCAAGGCATAAAAGAAAAGAAAAGAAGCAATGGATGGAGCAACCAAGAAGAAAAGAATGCATGAAGTGCCACACTCATGCCAAAAGAAGAAACAATGAAGAGATGGGCTACGGTTTTGCATTGAAAGGGATAAGAATTTCAGATTTTAATATTTCCCTAGTGATTGTTGTTGTTGAGATTTAAGGCTATAAATAGGAAGCTCTACAAGCCTTCAAACACACCAAGCTCCACAACTCTTGAGCTTTCTCTCTTCCCTCCATCTTTCTAAGTTTTAATTTCTGTTTTTAGTTTTATTTTATTATGGGGAACTAACTCCCTAGCTAAGGCTAGGGAGAAAGCTTTTAATATGAGTGTGTAATTTTTATTAGTTTGATCCAAACTTAAGCTTTAATGTGAATTTGTAGTTTTTGTTCAAATGGAATTTGTAGTTTTCTTTTTAATTAATTGATGAATGTTTGATAATCTATTTCATGGGTTCAATCATGTTTTTCCCATTGTGTAGTAAAAACTTTCATGCTTTTAAAAGAGAAGAGAATTACTAAAGATTAATAGAATTTGATGAAGATTATTTTTTGATAGTTTGTTGCCAATGGTACAAGTTATGCTTAGAATACTTCTAAAGGAAATTAAAAAGAGCTTTAATTATTTTGAACAACTACATTGGAAAATATTTTGTGGATCAAATTATTAAGAGTTGCATGTTTATGTTAAAAGTGGAACCCTAATGCCTTAGTGTTTTAATCAATTAAATTTTCTCTAAATCAAATCTTGCATAAATCTACCTCTCAATCACACTTGTTCTTTTTCATCTCTGTTATTTTCTTTACACTGCTCTCTGTGGATACGACATTCGGACTTCCGAGCTACACTACTATACGATACCTTCCCTTGGGTTTTGCAAAGTGGTACGAACAGTGCCCCTGACACGGAGGGATATTCCAGTTCATTTGAGCCCATCTATTAGTAAAACACAACCTGCTATGTGAGGGGCACGTGGTCAAAACTTAATGGATTTGAGGAAATTTTGACAGAAATTGAAATGATTGAATTTTTTTAAAATTTGAATCATCGTCTTGGAATCAGTAGTTTGGCATGCTATGCCGTTCCATATACCACAACCAAATTCGGATTGTTTGTGCTGAGGGATAAGGTTGCCTTCTAAATGTAATTTGTGTAAGTCTGTACTAAGCTTTTATGCAATAATACTAACCTTGTTCAACCATGGTAATTGTAGAGAGTATCGATAATTGTATAGAGAGTCTTGATAATTATATAGAGAGTCTTCTTCACCTATGCAACACTTTAGTTTCTCTTTCTCTTAGATTGGGTGAGATCTGAATTGAGAGTGTGTTTCCTGCAAGGGAAGAGACTTCTATTTATAGATGCATCACTTCGAAAGCCTTGCCTATCAAGAAGCATTCGAGTGTCCATTTTGCATTAGAATAGATTTGTTTCAATCCATGTTATATTAGGAATCCTTTTAATACTTGTGTTTAACTTTAATTAGCTCTGTACAAGTATTATCTCACAAGGTTGAGTTCTATTTCTTGATCAATCAAAAACTCGAGTCCTCTTAGGATTAGAAGATCATCTTTTGTGGACTGAGACAATAAATCGTCTTACATTCTCCGACTTGATCAAATAATCCCAAAGTTTTTGTGTTGATCACTTAAGGCCTTGTGAAATATAACTCAAGCTGATTCCATCAAGCAATTGTCAATTTTAAAGAATGAGAAAGAACCATCAAGACTTCACTGGATATCTTAATACTCCAGAGCCTTTATAATCACATTAATCATTCTTTAAAACCACATAAGCTTCCATCAAGATCAAACAGAGATGAACATGTTGTACTGTAAAGCTTTATGAACATGTTCATTCATTGTCCCTTAATTCGACTACTAAGGTCTCATCACTTTGTTAAAATGATGTCATTGTCATAAATGAATATCATTGCAGATATCTTTAGCTAGCTCTTCTGCTTAATTCATTCAGGTACTTATAACCATATAATAACTAAACATGTAACTGTTTAATGAGAAAAACTTTATTTCTAAATCTCAAAATAAGATCAACATCCATCGAAAACCATAACCAATTGTGAATTAATACTATAACAGAAAACTACTCAAAACTTAACAAGGCTCCCACTAATTTAAGCATTCAAATCATTCCTTAATCCCATGCTCATAACATGCCTGTGAAACACTGCATTCGGAACTCCTTTTGTGAGAGGGTCTGCAATCATTCTGTCTGTACTAATATAACTTATATTAGTATAGCCTTGAGCAATTTTCTCCTTCACTATTATGAACTTGACATCCAACAGTCTTGAACCCTTTGTTCTTTTGTTTCCTTTTGCAAACAAAATTGCTGTGTTGTTGTCATTCCATATTTGAATCGGTCTGTGTATTGATTCAACCACATTCAAGCTGATAATGAAATTTCTTAACCATATGTTAAAAGTGGTAGCTGCATAACAAGCTAGAAACTCAGCAAACATAGTTGAACCTGCTGTCAGAGGTTGTTTTACACTTCTCCATGACACTGCACCTCCTCCAAACATAAATACAAAACCTGATGTAGATTTCAAGGAGTCTTGACATCCTGCAAAATCAGCATCTGCATATCCTTGTAATTCCAGTGTATCACTTATTTTAAATATTAGCTTGTAATCTTTTGTCCTTTGCAAGTATCTCAACACTCTTTTCCTTGCAATCTAGTGAGCTTGTCCAGGATTAGACTGAAATCTTCCTAGCACACTGACTGCAAAGGCCAAGTCAGGTCTGGTACAAACCTGCGCATACATTAAGATTCCAACTAGTGAAGCATATGGTTTATCAACCATTTCCAGCTTTTCTTGCTCAGTCTTAGGTGCTTGTTCAGTGCTTAGTTTATCCCCTTTTGAGATAGGAATATCACTTCATCTACAGTTCAGCATATTGAATCTCTTGAGCACCTTTTCTATGTAGGATTTTTGTGATAGTCCAACTACCCCATTCTTTCGATCTCTGCTTATATCTATGCCTAAAACGTATGATGCCTCAGCTAGATCAGTCATTTCAAAGTTCCTAGATAGGAAACTTTTGCAGTCATGTAGCATGGTAAGGTTTGTGCAGGCTAGTAAAATGTCATCCACATACAGAACTAGTATAATGAAATGTCTCCCACTCATCTTCATGTATATGCATTCATCTAAAACATTCTCAACAAAACCAAAATCTTTCACTACCTTGTTGAACTTTAGATACCACTGTCTAGAGGATTACTGTAATCCATAGATTGATTTGCATAGCTTGCAGACCAAACCTTTTCCCCCTTCTTGAACAAAACCTTCAGGTTGTACCATGTATATGTCTTCTTCCAAATCTCCATTTAGGAAGGATGTTTTGACATCCATCTGGTGCAAATGGAGGTTAAAGTGTGCTACAAGGGCCATGATAACCCTCAATGAATCTTTGGTTGAGACTGGTGAGAAAGTCTCATTAAAATCTATTCCTTCTTTCTGTGTGAATCCCTTTGCAACCAATCTTGCCTTATACCTGTCTATCTGCCCTTTTGATTCCAATTTCGTTTTATATACCCACTTACAGCCAATTGGTTTGCAACCTTGGGGTAAAGTCACAAGCTTCCAAACTCCATTTTTCTCCATTGAGTTCAGTTCTGATTTCATTACTGCAAACCAATTGTCTTTCTTTTCACTTGTCATGGCCTGTTTGAAGGTTGCAGGATTTTCTGTGGTATTCACATCATGTTATGCTCCCTGTAAATACACAAAATAATCATCTCCTAAGGCAGGTTTTCTTTGCCTTTGTGATCCTCTCAATTCCATGTTTGGTTTTGGATCTTCTACTTCTTGTGCTTGAGCCACATCTTGGTTTTCTGCAGTTTCAGACTCATTTGCATTGGTCTCCTCAGTGTGTTCCAGCTGAGTATTGCTTGAATTGAATTGAGGTAGCCTAACAGTATCTTCATTTGAATTATGTGATATGTCATGGTTCAAGGTTATTTCTTCAAAACTGAAACTTTCTTTCTCATCTCTTTCTTGGTCAGTTTCTATTAAAACTGCTCTTCAGGTTTCTATGAATCTGGTAGTGTGTTTGGGGCAATAAAATCTGTATCCCTTTGTTCTCTCAAGATAGCCAACAAAATAACCACTTATGGTTTTCGGATCCAACTTCTTTTCTGCAGGATTGTAAGGTTTTGCTTCTGCTTTACAACCCCATACTCGCAGATGTTTAATGCTAGGCTTCCTTCCATTCCACACTTCATAGGGAATTCTATTTATGCTTTTGGTTGGAATTCTATTCAAAATATAATTGGCTGTTTTTAAAGCTTCTCTCCAAAGAAAGATTGGCAGGTTTGTACAGCTCATCATACTTCTTATCATGTCTTTCAAGGTCCTGTTTCTTCTTTCTGAAATTCCATTTTGTTGAGGTGTACCTGGGTTGGTATACTGAGCTATGATTCCTTCTTCTTGAAGAAATTTAGCAAAAGGTCCAGGATTTCTTCCAGTCTCATCAAACCTTCCATAGTACTCTCCTCCTCTATCCGATCGAACCACCTTTATTTTCAAGTTCAAATGGTTTTCTAATTCAGCCTTATAGATTTTGAACTTGTCCAATTCACTGGATTTCTTT